GCGGCATCCACAGAGCTGCGGCCCTGGCTCCAGCTGGCCTTCCGCCAGCGCGGCTCCCAGGCCTCCCTCACTCAGCAGGCAGCTGGGCTCAGTCCCCTTCTCTGTCCTCCCGGCCATTGCAGCTGTCTGGCAGTGATGCAGTCCTGCTGCACCGCAGGCTCCTGGTCTGCAGTGTGCGGGCAGGGAGTGGGCTCTGGGAACAGGACCCGGCCGGTCCCTGGGTGGCCCTGGAGGTGGAGAATACAGAGGCCTGGCCAGTTCTCACCTACAGCAGAGGGGGTTGGGAGGTCCTATTGCTGCCGCTTTCCTGCGTCTGTGCAGTGGGCCCTTCCCGCCTTCCTCCACCTGCCTTCCCCCACCTGCCTTCCCCCACCTGCCTTCCCCCCCCTGCCTTCCCCCACCTGCCTTTCCCACTGCCTTCCCCCACCTGCCTTCCCCCACCTGCCTCCCCCCACTGCCATGCAGAGGCAGGAATTTGTGTCCCGCGACCCAGCTCAGCAGTGTCTTCGCTTGTGTATCAGTGTCCTCAGGTATTTTATTTGGGCCTCCGGTCAAGCCAAGGCACATTCCTATGTCATCTTCCTTTCTCATTCTGAGTTTACGGAAAGCACTCAACAACTATTGAGTTGATTGGCCTCCGTCTTTAGTTTTCGAGGCGCTTCTGTTGAATGGTCTCTGAGGCACATGATTGACAGAAGGTTCTAGTTAGGGGCACCTAACTAGAAAACGCTTGCCTTTTCTTCTGCTCAGCCATTTCCCGCTGCCCTCCCTCCCCCCAAGCACAAGGCTGTTTGTGATTTGCTGGCAAATCCTCTGTCCTCAGGTGGCAGGTGCCGATCGCTGGCTGTCAGGGCACAGCCACATGATGCCAGCTGCTCTAAGAACGTCCTGACACCGGCCTACGCGAGGGGCCTCACAGTCATGTCCCCAGTCCAGTCGGAACTGGAAACGGCTGAGGGAGAGGCGGGGAGAGGAGCCCAGCTCCAGCCACAACCAGCGCCCTTCCTGCCACTCCCGCCTCACTGCCCTGAATCCAGTGTGCTGGCGCTTTAAGTCCGAAAGCGTTCAAAGTTCTCCACCCCACAGTGTCTGTGCGTAAGCGTATAGATCTTGGGTCTTTGTTTGTTGTTGTTATTTTTTAATATGTTTTTATTGATTTGTTAGAGCGAGGGGAAGGGAGGGTATGTGCCCTGACCGGGATTCGAACCAGCGACCTTTCAGTACCTTTCAGTGCCTTCCAGTGTCTGGGACGACACTCAACCAACTGAAACACAGCAGCCAGGGCAGTGGGCTTTTGTTTTGGCTCCAGACCGACTGCTGATGAGAAGCGATGTCGTTCTCCTTGATGTAACTGGGCGAAACCCCAGCCAGGGACGACACCGCAGTCAGGCCACCGCAGCAGCCTCCACAGGCCCGCCGTGGAGAGAGCTTTTACTGCCTTCATAGCCAGGAGACTGGCTGTCAGAAAGTGTGGCCGCAGAAATGCGGTCCCTCTGCTCTCACCCGCAGCCCGCGGCCTGAGCTCACTCCACCTCTCGAGCTGCGGGGCCGTGCACAATCCCTCCTTGTCTCTCCGTCTCAGTTTAAGTCTCTGTGAGATGGGAAGGGCACTGACAGTGCACTACTCCATGGCTCTCTGTGCTTACACACGGACATGGGCGGAGGGTCTCACAGGCTAACACACAGCGCCCAGCAAACGCCTGGAGAGGAGCAAGCGCCGGTGCTGCCGCCTAGAGGCAGAGGACTCCCGACTGGCCCCAGGAGCACAGCCGTCCCTTCCAGATCAGGGTGCAGGGAGCACGAGACGGGAGGAGGGAGAGGAAAGGAGGACACGTGGAAGGGCCTCTCAGTGAGAGGCACACGATGGGAGGGCGGCTCTGTGGAGAAGGGCAGTGCCAGGACAGGGACACAGGGATGGAGGGGACGTTGGTGACCCTTCCAGACACCATTTGCTCGTTTTCTGGAATTGCCGAGGGCAGGGAATGTCGCCAGGACAGAGGCCACCGCACCCCTTTCCTCTCCCTGCCCTGGGAGGGGAGCTTCCTGGGGAGTGGAGTCACACGGCAGAGGGCCAGGCTCCGGTCAGGAGAGCCCCGGGGCTGGTGCCGGCCACCAGGCGCCCGGTCCGGGAGCATTGCAGCAGAGGGGGCAGGAGAAAGCCCCCTGGCCTCGCAGTGCGCCAGCGCCCACTGGCTGTGCTGTTCCCACCCGGGCCCGTGAGTGTGCAGTGAGTAGGGCCTGTGCCTGTGCCCCTCTCCCCCCGTCCTGGAAGCTTTCTCGGGGACCAACACACTGCCCAGGTGGGGACACGACCTCTAGACTCACCTGCATCCTGTTCAGGGGTCCCGTGCCGGCTGCACCAAGGATGGCGTTCCCTCCCACCCAACGCCGCCTGCGTGGTTTCTCCCATCGAATTTCCTGGGGCTGCAACTTCTGGTTTCTATGGCAACTTGGAAAGCCCTGCAATTGTGGTTTTTTGAAGTCTAAAATGAGAGCCGAGGTTTGAGATAGGGTGGGGCCCACAGAAAATGCCATGTTCCGGACAGAGGGTCACAGGGGAGGGCGTCCCCTGACTTAGAGCAGCACCGGCACTCCACCACCCTTAGCAGCTCCACGCGCCCTCCCAGCCTCCTGGGATCTTCGAGCAGAAGGAGAAGAGCTGTGCCCGGGGCACGGAGTCGGGCAGCGCTCACAGCCCGTGTCTGCTGAGCACCTCCTGTGCCAGCACCGTGACCTTCGGTGCTTTCCCTCCCTGCTTAGTCCCCCCACCACTCCAGGAGGGCTGCTGTCGGCTCACTTTATACACGTGTACACGCGTGATTTGCCTGAGGTTTCAGAGCTGGCATGTCTACGTGTCTGCCCCGGGGTCTCATATGGGTCAGGGGCTTATGTTCCCTGTAGGAAAGTCCTTGGACTTTCATTGATGGCGGGGCCGTCGCTCCCTTTCTGTAAGTCACTGTCTAGTTACAGTGGAATTGGCTTTAGTCATCATCGCCAGCATTGCGGTGACCCTGGTCCAGTGTCTGTTCTTCCATGGACCTCGCCTTTCCGTGCCCAGGCTTGAGAGTGGAGAGGGCTGTTTGAGGAAACAGCTCACCACCCTGTGGTGTGAGGTCTTGCGGGTGCCTGTCCAAAGGAGATGGGCACAGGGACCCCCCATTACCAGACCCGATGAGGAACTACAGAGCGTGGCCCCAGGATGGGGACCAGCAAAGAAGACTGGCTGGCCTGGTGGGGCACCGACTCCCACCTGGCTGTGGAGGGGCCCGGTGCCCGGCAGAGGACAGGCAGCTCTCCGGAGCCCTGGCTGTCCCCTGGGAGGGGGCGGCTGCCGCCGGTGTTCGCTGCGCAGTTGGCCAGGCTCCCGCAGCCGGCTGTCCCGTTACTCAGCAGCCGGCAGGACCGCCGCAGAGAGATAAGGGCAGGCTGCAGCTGGCCAGCAAGGATAGCCCGGATTAGAAGGTGGCGTCGGCTGATAGCGGCTTCAGGGTGACTCGCACAGCTGGCATCACGCTCGCCCACCCCCTCGGCCTTCATCGCAGGGTGAGGGCAGCCACTGGCAGAAAGTACAGAAAGGATTCCCTCCTAGGAAATGTTTCTCTGTGTAGAGCAGGCTCTTAAATCTCTACTTTAAATGGTGCCTTCCGTGATCTGTCCCTTCGCCACACTGATCCACATGACCTCCGTCAGCCTCGTGGTGGGGGAGTTAGTGCCTGGAGTTCTGTCCCCAGCCCTGGGTGCAGTGAGGGGGTGCTCCTGGGGTTCATGAAATCTGAGTGCTTGGGACTTGTGCTCTGGGCTGTCGTGTGTCAGCTTTCCTGGGATGCTGGGCGGAGGTGTGTCCTGGGGTGACTCTGGAGGCCACTCACACGTGTTTTCTCGTCCAGCTGAAACTGGAGGACCGCTCCGTGGTGCCCCGGGACGTGGTCCGGCACATGCG